GCCGTTGAATAAGAAATGTTTCTTTCACAAGAAATGTATAAAATTACAGTACTGTATTAGACTTACGGTACCTAATTTACATACTGACAGACGATAGTTAGCGTAAAAATCTCCGTAGCGTGGCGCCACGCTAGACGGCGGAAATTATATATTTAATTATAACAAAGTTACAATAAGTTAATATATAATTATATATACAGTACCTAATTTATATATAATTAATATATAATTATATGTACAGTACCTAATTTATATATAATTTATATAATACTGTCCAGACGATAGAAATCTCTCCGTAGCGTGGCGCTACGGACGGCGGGAAAGTAGTTCGGCTTCCCGATGACGTTTGAGGTGTTTATAGGGAACTTTTACTATTTTTTACGGATACCGGTAGCAATTTTTTCGTAGTTTTATAGGAATCGTAACTATAGGGACCGTAATTATAGGGGGGTCGACTGTAGTTTTCTTATGTTTAATTATTTGTTACTATCAAATTTATTAATATTCAACCGTATTAATTAATTTTAAACATATGAAACTATATTATCTTTGATACTGATCAATACTATGCTAATTGTAAAAATAATTATTTAAAACAAATATCCTAAATAAAAAGGATTAATTAACATTAAAAATTTTATTTATATTAAAATTTAGTCTAAATATTTACAACCACTAAACAACTCATATTCTTCTATTGTAAATAAGAATGAGAATTTTCAGAAAGTAGATTAAATTAATATTTTACTAAATATTTTAGAATATTCTGGAAGAAAAAAGTGGTCAGAGCAAGACTTGAACCTGCAACTCCTACCTAATGTGAGGATGAGGGAGTTGAGGGCTTGAGTTTGAAAATTTGATTATAAATATTAAAATTTAATAAGAGATGGCTCCTAATGCCTCTCTCTAGTAACAAATTGTTTTAGGTATATTAAATACTTGGATTGGATGTCACGCAACAGTTGTGTTAATTCAATTAGAAACTTCAGACTAGGAGGTGTTAAAGAGTGCAAGCTGTCATCTTACCGGAAGACCCAACTTCATCTGTGTTAAGAAAAACGAAGAAAATAATCACTCTCCCAGGAGTTACTTCTGTTCTTTCGGGACACCTGGATCCCCCATCCAACGTCACTTGCCCCAGATTTTTCTTTGAAGCAAAAATGCACAAAGAGAGCTGGCCATTAAGGCCTTTAGTCAATAAGAGGTCGCACCCCCACATACTTCATTGAAAAAGCACTTGCTAGATTACTAGGTTGGCTACTTCCTTCTGCCTCCTAAGTAGTGTCCTCATCTGTCACGGCTAAAGAAAGGTTATGCGCTATGCTGGCTGGCTTGAATCCAGACACCTACACATTTTATAAAATGGATGTTGTTGCGTTGTACCCTTTGGTACTACACTTCGAGAAGGTTATGCTAGCCCAGTGTTTCTCAACCTGTAACAAATCATCACCCCCTTCAATAAAACCGTTATGTAGTATCGCCCCTTCAATAAAACCGTTACGTAGTATCCCCCCTTCACTACAAAATTTCGATACCGAGGGACAAGGCTAACACCAAATTCGTACTGCATTGAATAGACTAGTGACTAGTATAATGTTATTTGTTTAATTATTGTACAATATAACGAATAAAATATCTAATTATTCTTAATATAATGTTTTACTATATCGCCCAGAAAATTGTTTTTTGCCCCCTAAAATATAAATTGTTACTAATCGCCCTCTCAACATGGAAAAACGCCCACATGGGGGCGATATCGCCCTCGTTGAGAAACACTGTGCTAGCCAATACCTTGCTTATCAAAGAGGGCTTTACTGCACAGCAAGTTTTAGAAGTTTGTGAAGCATTACTCTTCATTGTGGAGCACAATTACTTCTGCTTCAACGGAAAGATTTACCTGCAGAAGCAGGGGGTGCCGATGGGCTCACCGCTGTCAGCTGTATTGGCAGAACTTATTATGTGAATTTGAACACAGCTTTAAATTTCCTCTCATCATAGCTTATCCCTTAATTTATTTAAGATACATAGATGATATTCTTTTGGTGTGGCAGGATACGGAAGACTCCTTCCAGATATTAGAACATCACTTATCGAAGATGTATTCCTCTATACACTTCACTTGGGAGAAGGAAGTTGGGAGAAAAATCACTTTCTTGGACTTGCACATTCACGAATCCCAGGAAGGCTTGGAATTTTCCGTTTATCACAAGTTTGGCAATATTCCACCCATAATACCAGCCACAGCCTGTCAACCAAAGCAATATGTTAATGCAGCCATAGCTCCCTTGATCAGACAGGCATTCTTACTACTGTTGACACAACATCTTATCAATATTGAACTGGAGGTTGTCCGCACAGCAGTATACGTGGCGGGATTTAGTTCTTCCAAATACATCCATGTCAAAAAGAGCATTATACAGTCTCTCTTCCCTGCCACCACATTGTGCAGACCAAGGGATTGGACAACACTCCGTCCCTCGCTCCCATACTGTGGACGCTTTATGACCCAGATCTTTAGGCAGAATGGTTTTCGTTTACCCATTGCTCCACGACCATGTCTGCAACTAATTTTGTGTAATGATAGAGATGTTACTTCCACCCTGGAAAAATCTGGTGTATGCTCCATTCCTCTACAGAATCCAATATCAGGACTATTCACCTATTATATAGGAGCAACTGTCAGAATTCTGGCTGCTCGCGTATCTGAACATCAATGTTCGGTGGCACTTGGCAATTGCGACACTGAACTTTTCAAATTAGTGATACAACACCACCACATAGCACTTTGGAATTAGATGGCAATACTCAAACACTGTGATGAAGGGAGCTTGCTATATATTTGGGAGGCCCTCCTCACAAAACTGCTCTCCCTGTGCAACTCCCCTACCCTCGACTTACCGGGCATCTGGATTAATTTATACAGGCGTTTAAAAAATCAACGATAATTCTACACTCATTTCCCGCACCTACTATGTGGTTCAAGGCACATACACGTCGGCCTCTTCATGTGCGCCTTTGTATATGTTACATGCANAAGAAAACATTCTTTTGAGTACAATAAAATAATAACATTATAATTTGACTGACAAAAGAGAGTTTTGTGTAAAGGGTAATAAAACAATTAATGGCTTATTGACATTAAGTTAGTAGAAATAGTAGTTTGTCAGTGTGAGCTGCACTTATAATCTACTCTGATCCTGAAAGATAATACCTTCCTCTAAAATTTCATACAAATCAGATATTAATCAGTGTAAGTTGAGATAATTTACAGAGAGTTTCTAAAATTTGATATGTTTATTTTTGTGTTCTTGAAAAAGTACTTTCCTCATTCCATGATTATTTTATGTCATTGGAAATTAGACAAAATGCAGAAATTAAACATATAATCATTTGCCAATCAATGCTGAGTTTCACAATTTTAGAATAGAAACTGGCTCTGTGAGTTTCACCCACCTTCTGGAGAGGGATGTATAACCTCACTTAAACTGGCATGTCAGTATTTACTGTACAGAAATGCCTGATTTCATGGTCTCCCCTGGATGGATAGACTGACATGACAGACAATCTGTGAAAATATGGTAAAGTAAGACTGTCAAAGATCATAGTGTGTGTACACTATGATTTTTTATTTAGTATCATTGACTACATTATAATTTGTCAAGATATAAATAAAAATTGCAGACCAAATAAGATATGCTTTATCATAAAATTTATACATTAAAATGGTCTTAAAACTTTCTGATTTTTCTAATTGATTCCATTTTTAATTTATATTTATAAATAATGAAAAATATCAAAATATTTGCAAATTTAATTATTGCTATTTTTTGCTATTGTTTGTAATTTTTATAAACTTTTGATTAGTGTTTCAAAAATACATCCAAAACATAATAGTAAATTTAGCAGCGGAGATAAATAAAAGAAATGCCACTCTATTACTGTGAAAATTAAACTAGACATTATAAAACTAAATGTGTTAGGTGGAAAAAAACTGCATTTGAAACACCTGTAATATGCAATAGTAAGTGGATAAATGAACATAGTGTATTCTAGTAAGTACATTGAAGGATCAAACAAAAACAATACATGGTTATTCTGTGTATAAATGTACTTTCTAGGATAGTTTTCAACTTGTGAAAAAATCTGGGGAACCTAACCCTGAGATTTTGTTGTAAGTAGGGGAGTACCTGTATATAAAATTACAAAAACAATTAGGATGCACAATGAAATAAAACTAATAAAAGTTGCTGAACCAAAATACAAAAATAAATAAACATATAGCAGTGTCATTAATGAAGAAGGATGTTTTTTTATTGTGAAATATCCAACTTACAACGTTAGAAGTTTAAGTAGCACTATACACAACTCTGGTATGTCAAGCATGAAGGAGTTGCATGGCAACATTGACACAATGAAAAAGATTCCCAGATAAATAGTGTTCTTTGGTTTCCATAACATCTTAGGAGCAAAGTTTGCAACAAAAGCAGATCAAATTTACTCTCTATTGTTTAGTTAGGTCTGTTGTACACCTATTGTGTGCAACATCTTCACAATGCTCCATAAGACAGAGGCAAAGCATTCTGACAGTTGCCCCAATATAATAGCTTTGACCCAGTTAGCATATTTTGTAAGGTAATAGCATAAACCCCAAATTTTGCAGAGAGTGTGACATTATCTCTATCATTGCAAAGGATGCTGGGCACTAGTGGCAATATGTAACCATATTTCTTGAAAACCCATCACATATGCAATGAGGACAGACTCAGATACAGACTGGCAGGTGTCACAAAAAGTAACTTTTTATGATACAATGTGAATTGCAGAAATAACATGCCTTTGACCAGGTTGACAAGATGGTTGGACCCAAAGAGTATCCAGCCATGTAAACCATTAATTTAACAAGAGAAAGCTCCTCATCCCTAAGCAGTTGGGTGGAAGAGTATAAGAAAGACCTGCATATGAACACTGTAATAACTGAATTTTTGTACCTTGGGATTGGAAAGTCATAGAAGGGATGATTTGAGGCAGTGTATCAAATTTATGAAACACAGAGAAGAAAAGCAATCCTTGCAGCCTTCTCCTTCTCTTTAGTAAATGTAATTGTCAGGAAAATGGCAGACAACAATTGTATAAAGCTTAGTAACTTTTCATTGGAGTCTTCCCATACCAGAAGTACTGTACATCATTGACATATCACAAATAAGAAGAGCATATAATATGGTGAGTGGAGATCTGAAAATTTTTAACTCTACAGTCCTCATAATTAATTCAGCCAAAATAGCTGAGAGGTGCAAGTCCAGAGGCACTTCCTGCTTTTGTAAATAAATGTTACCATTAAAACAAAAATAATTGTTTTCTGTAATTAGTAAAAGTGCCTCCCTCAATTCCAGTATCTGTGATATAGAATAACTATTCTCAATCAGTAATGGTTTGTAAATATGACTGCTTCAAAATGAGGAACTAAAGGGTATAGGGAAACCAAATCAATTTTGCAAAAATGGTATAATTTAGGAGATATAGCTGCAATACTACTAGTTTTAAAGGACTTTATCTCAAGAGTAAAAGACACAATGAAATTGGAGCTAGGAACAAGTGCAGTGATTTTTCTAGCAAGTGCTTTTTCTAAGAAATACATTGGATGGAAGTGCTTTTTTACCAAAGGATGGAGCAGCCAGACAGATTTGTGCATTTTCACTTCAAAAAATAGCTGGAATGTGCCACATACAGCAATGGATCAAGCGGCCCAGATAATACTGATGCTACTCCCAGCACAGCAATAACTTTTTTCGATTTTCTCAAAACAGAAGGGGGTGGATCTTCTTTTACTAATACTGATCCAGACTGCAGTGGAACTCATTAGCCTAACATAGGAAATCATCATTTTTGCAAAACAAACTTTTTGTCTTTGTCCAAGACTAAAAGTCTTAAATTTAAATTGTTCAAGTATTGTGCAATAAATTTTTTTCTTTTCTGGATGAAGTAGTAGTGCACAGACACTGTGCATCAGATATCTTTGTGAAGGCAGATATCTCAGCTGGGAACATGCCTCCACTGCTGACAATTTCTAGTTACTGCAAAGGTAGGCAGAATTAACAGACTTAGATCTATCTTTTGCTTTGGAATGAATTTCAGGCCATGCTTTAGCAAAGGATGTACTGTTTCTGGAACTACTTCACCTGAGTGATTGTAGTATGAGATCTTTACTGGAGATCTGCAAAAAAAATTTCTTTACCTTTTATGTTCCATTTTTCAAATAGTAGCATACTGTTCTCTGTGAATGATATTGCTTGAAGAGGATAGTTATATACTGTCAAAAGTACTTGTGTAAATAAATCTTTTCTGTAACACCAATAGATAGTTGTGTGATTAATTTTGTAACATTATTTGGTGTCTAGTGTTTTTACATTTTATAAATAATTTTTTGCTAACAACAAAAATTCACAAATTTAATACTTTCTTGTTTGACACATTCTTCACCATCATAACGTTTCCTAATAGATCTAATCATGGAGATTAAGATCATTTAACAGAAATTTACTCTTAGATAAATCTATGTCTGATCCACTATATTAACTCTTACTTCTTTGTCACTATTTCTTTTTAACAATAACTTTAGTAAGTATAAGCAGTGAATCACTCATAAGAGGTTTTTATTTTTCTTACAATTGATTCATAAGCTTATATAGCGCAGATATCCTGAATCGTCATATAGTGTAATACAATAAAGTATTAAATGGAATACTATTAAGAATACATTTTAAAAAATTTGCATTTTCACTTATATTATAAGGCTTTTCAAGTGAAAAAAATAAATAATAGAAATAAAAGTAAAAATACTTATTTTATTTATTTATTCTTTTTCTTGTTGAACCATTGCTAGTTTATTTAAATGTATTTAAATTTTTGTGTTCTAACTTTTTATTTTTGTTTTTTAATACTATTTGAAATAAACTTTGTAATAAAAATGGAAGTATTTGTGTTTTTGCAAATTTTTCTGTTTTATGTGCTTTCTTAATGGCATTCTGTTATACTTTAGTGCATTGTTTACATATTTTATATATTTAATCTTATTTAAGTTATTTTAATTTATTATACTTTTGTTGTTGTTATGAATATTTTTTAATATTTTAAAGTAAAAAAAATGTATTAATTTTTATAAATAATTATATGCTAAGTGCCATGTTTATTTCTACCTCTGACTTAAAATAAATTTTTTTGGACGTGAACAGTAATGCTTGAAAATGCTTTGAAACAGTTTTTAAGTATGAATTTACTTCCAATAAGTAATTTTGTTGTACAGATTTGATTTCTTTTGATATATGAAAGGATTACTCATTTCTCTAAATGTTGTTTATTGTTTTCTCTGATTATTAAAATATCACTGAGAATAAACTGTTACATCTTTAACCTCTTGTACTAATTTGTTCATCTCTTTTGAACAATTCCAATAACATTTCATAAAGTAATATAATTATATCAAAATAGATTTTTCAACACTGATGTTAAGTATATTTACTGCAAATGAAAACACTCAATATTTAAAATTTGACAAGTGAATGAATTGTTTGAATTAAAGATAAATTTTTTTAAATTATGATTTAATGGAACATGTTTGATCATAGTATAAATTGTAGGTCATTCCAAGAAAGAAAAGCAAAAGCAACATTTAAATAAGTCTAAAAATTCTACATGATTAATATATATTTTTTCTATACCAGAGATCTATTTTGAGAGAAATGTAAGAATTTTAACTAGAAATGAATATAAAAATCTTGAGAAGGATGTAAAGTTTAAATAATTAATTGTGGAAAGTACTTGTAAATTTTACAGTTTAATAAACTAATTGTCTGATAAATGGAATTAATACACAAATAGATTTTTTCTAAATTTAAAAGAAAATCATTTCTTAAGAATGAACAAGTTTTCTTCCTATTAAATTGTAAAATATAACAGGTATTTCCGCAANAAATAAATAAACCTTGATTGAAATGGCTATTAATTAAGATCATTGAAATTTAAAAGCCTTTTTTGTAAACACGAAAAATTGGCATGCATGCACTTTAACATGCATAACTAATTGGCACGTGCACCTTAACATGCATAGATAATTGGCGCGTGCACCTTAACATGCGTAGATAATTGGCTTTTATGTTAAGGCGCACATGTTAAGGCATGTTAAGGCGCACATGCGCCAATTTTTCGCATTTACAAAAAAGGCTTTTAAATTTCAATGATCTTAATTAATAGCCATTTTAATTGGTGTTTATTTATTTTAAGACGCATGCGTGCCAATTTTTAAATGTTTTTAATTCTAAAATTTAAATCTTATTTACTTTAATAGTTATGTTCCAAAAATGGATAATATTGTTAATGCTTAAATTTAAATGTTCTGTTCGAATTCTCTTTTCCATTTTGAATTGCCTGAGGATGACGTACATATTTACGTTGAAAGCGCTTGCAAGATTAAAATATTCCTTTTAATTCTCTTTAATGCCTCCTAGTCTGAAGTTTCTAATTGAATTAACAAATTGTTTAGTAATTAATTAAATATAATTATGGAACAGTAGCCCAATATGATCCAATAGTTGTTTGGCTTTACTTATAATAATGCTCTACATTTGGAGTGAATTTTAGATACATGCATAAGATGATTTAATTCATAATCAGTTTTGGTTTTTTGAAATTACGTAAAATGAGATTGTATATAACAAGGGATAATGTATAGAATATTATCAAAATGTATTTACATAGTTAGAATAACATTCTTATCTACACAACAAATTTTTAATTTTTTACTTTTAGAAATGATTGACTGAACTTACTCACTATTCTACATAATAACCATTAGTTAAACAAATTACAAATTATTTATTTAGTTGCAAGTGAAAAATTATCATCATCACATTTAAAGTAATTTAAATAGATAACAAATGATTGGAATGAATAAAACAGGATTAGTGAGTTATTTTGTTAGATCTGTAATACTAATACTTTTGTTTATATTAAATAGAAGATAAAATTACTTTGTAACTGGAAAAGCAATTTTATTAGATAATTTAGCAATTAGAAATCACATTATTATAATTGTTATAATTTGTTTATTTTTGCTTGTTTTTATTATGAATTTGTATCTTTCAAATGATTGATTGGTAAAATAATAATTAAAATATTTTGTAAATTTTAAATTTTATAGTAAAAAAATAAAATAACTGATTAAATTATCCAAGAAGTATATCTTACCATATATATATATATATATCATTATTGAGATATGTTTTTAACCAGTCAAAATTTAAGTAAAAAATTTATTATTATAAATTATCTGTTCTTGTTAAAGTTTGTTTATTTATTTCTTTAAGTATACTGGTACAACCATGATGCAGGGAGAAAACATACAAAAATTACACAAGATCATACAACACATCTGTTAATTAAAAAACAAATACACACAACTTATAATTAAAACACAAAGGTAAATTCAATCTTAAACCTAAAAGTGGAAGAACTATGAAAAAGAAAAAATTATAAAAAAAAACTAGGCAATATCTTACCCAGAAAGCAAAAAAAAAAATCAGATTGGTCTCTTATCCACAAATTGGATAGTCTCCCAAATAACCAAAGCTAATCACTGGTTAAATAACGTGCAAACCATGCCCTAGGATGCGATTAACATAAAAATACTAACAGCTTTTCACTATTGACCTTGAAAAATGAATCAGTATCACAGATTACTTTCACAAAATTATTAAACAGAAAGGAAGTAACACCAAAACTCTCCTCATGTAATTTTGATAAAAAGGCACAAACTGTAGTCACTTGATATGCATTCAATGATGAATCAACATATGCAAATGTCCCTTCTAGAAAGTGGAAAAAAATCAGATTAGTCTCTTATTCATGAATCAGATAATTTTCCTGTTTTTGTTAAAGTTAAGTTGTAAAGTACTATTTTATTTTTCCGACTTTTCCAACGATTATCGACACGACTGTGTGCCAGAAATAGCCGTTCCCTAACGGGTACTTTACGCGGATTCGCGTTAGTGTGCCAGGCCTGGACTTTAAGTGTGCACCGAATTAAATAATGACCAAGTTTGTCAATAACAAATCAAATATTTAATAAATAATTCTAATAATAAACTATATATAAAATTTAGTAAAAATCAAACAACAATTTNTAAAATAATAATTAAAATATTTTGTAAATTTTAAATTTTATAGTAAAAAAATAAAATAACTGATTAAATTATCCAAGAAGTATATCTTACCATATATATATATATATATATATCATTATTGAGATATGTTTTTAACCAGTCAAAATTTAAGTAAAAAATTTATTATTATAAATTATCTGTTCTTGTTAAAGTTTGTTTATTTATTTCTTTAAGTATACTGGTACAACCATGATGCAGGGAGAAAACATACAAAAATTACACAAGATCATACAACACATCTGTTAATTAAAAAACAAATACACACAACTTATAATTAAAACACAAAGGTAAATTCAATCTTAAACCTAAAAGTGGAAGAACTATGAAAAAGAAAAAATTATAAAAAAAAACTAGGCAATATCTTACCCAGAAAGCAAAAAAAAAAAAATCAGATTGGTCTCTTATCCACAAATTGGATAGTCTCCCAAATAACCAAAGCTAATCACTGGTTAAATAACGTGCAAACCATGCCCTAGGATGCGATTAACATAAAAATACTAACAGCTTTTCACTATTGACCTTGAAAAATGAATCAGTATCACAGATTACTTTCACAAAATTATTAAACAGAAAGGAAGTAACACCAAAACTCTCCTCATGTAATTTTGATAAAAAGGCACAAACTGTAGTCACTTGATATGCATTCAATGATGAATCAACATATGCAAATGTCCCTTCTAGAAAGTGGAAAAAAATCAGATTAGTCTCTTATTCATGAATCAGATAATTTTCCTGTTTTTGTTAAAGTTAAGTTGTAAAGTACTATTTTATTTTTCCGACTTTTCCAACGATTATCGACACGACTGTGTGCCAGAAATAGCCGTTCCCTAACGGGTACTTTACGCGGATTCGCGTTAGTGTGCCAGGCCTGGACTTTAAGTGTGCACCGAATTAAATAATGACCAAATTTGTCAATANTTAAAATATCACTGAGAGTAAACTGTTACATCTTTAACCTCTTGTACTAATTTGTTCATCTCTTTTGAACAATTCCAATAACATTTCATAAAGTAATATAATTATATCAAAATAGATTTTTCAACACTGATGTTAAGTATATTTACTGCAAATGAAAACACTCAATATTTAAAATTTGACAAGTGAATGAATTGTTTGAATTAAAGATAAATTTTTTTAAATTATGATTTAATGGAACATGTTTGATCATAGTATAAATTGTAGGTCATTCCAAGAAAGAAAAGCAAAAGCAACATTTAAATAAGTCTAAAAATTCTACATGATTAATATATATTTTTTCTATACCAGAGATCTATTTTGAGAGAAATGTAAGAATTTTAACTAGAAATGAATATAAAAATCTTGAGAAGGATGTAAAGTTTAAATAATTAATTGTGGAAAGTACTTGTAAATTTTACAGTTTAATAAACTAATTGTCTGATAAATGGAATTAATACACAAATAGATTTTTTCTAAATTTAAAAGAAAATCATTTCTTAAGAATGAACAAGTTTTCTTCCTATTAAATTGTAAAATATAACAGGTATTTCCGCAATTAATATTTAATTTGATATTTTATGGAAATTTTATTATACTTCTAATACATGCAAACATATAAGCACATTTTTGAGCATACTCTTCAAGAAAGTATTACATAAAAAAATAAATTTTTAGAAATATTTATTGTAATTTTTATAATAAATTATTTCAATTAAATATAACATTTGCCATGCTTTTTCCATTAATTATGGTTGTTGAATTAATATATTATCTTAAATATTTATTATTTTCTAGGAATGGGCAAAGAAGTTGAAAATCTAATAATGGAAAACAATGAACTTTTAGCAACCAAGTAAGAGTGAGGTTTGATTTACATTTTGGTTTGGTTTAATCTATATTAACTCTGTAATAGTTGTTAATTTATTGTGCATGAATGAGTTCAGATCTATTTACCCACAGGAATGCTTTGAATATAGTGAAAGATGATCTAATAGCTAAAGTTGATGAACTAACAAGGTGAGTGTTAAAAGATACTAACATGATTTGAAAAATTATAAAAATATCAAATGCCCAAAATAATATTTTCATTACTTTTTCTAAAAATGTTTATAATCAAAAAATGCATTTAGACTTGTAAAAATGTCTTCTTGGGTCTAATTATGTACTAATTTAATTGTTTTAATATTGAAAAACAGCAAACTTGTCTGATACAAATATTTAATTTAATCATAAATTATCAATAATAATTATTTTTATTTCAGTTGATATGACTAGCAATTTGAATAGAGAAGAAAAATTTAATTATTTTATTAATATTTTAGATAAACTTAGATTTGTATTAATTAAATTAAATTATTATTTAAATCAAATTTTATTAATTTAAAAAATATAAATATTTACTTTAAAGAATTGTTTATCAACTAAAAAGTTGATAAATTATTCTTTAAAAGTAATAAAAATAAGCAATTTTTGTGAAAATTCAATTGTATAATTAAAAGTTATAATAAATAATCTATTGTTAAAATTTTAAAATTATGAAAAAAACATATAAAAACACAAAGATTTAAATACTATAACACAATGATGAACAACCCATGGCCTTTGAGGTCCTAACATGGAGTCTCCAGGACTTTGGCAAGATAATTTTATTTTCCTGCTTTTTTGTCTCATGCCATTATTCAACCCTAATTAAGCTGATATTCATCATGAAGAACTTTCTTGACCAGTAAAAAGATGAGAATAAATATTTAGAATGATAAGAATAATGTAAGAATAAATATATTTGTTTGCTGCAATAAAAAACTTCATTTATTTTAAAACAGGACTTGATTAAATATTCAATTTATATATTTTTAGATTTTTACATACATGCATTTTGCTACATTGTGTTATAATAATATAAACAGTATAAATCATTATTGATAAGTTTAATTTTTAAACCTGTTATTATCCTCAAAGCTTAATGATTGACAGATTAGATTGAGCTATATTACTGCTGCTATTAATAATTAAATAATAAGTAATTTGGCTTAGAGGTAGGTGTTAGGTGCTGTCTCTTATTAAATTTAATAATTATAAATAAATTATTATTTATTCATTAATTTAGAAGGTTTTGGATGAAAAGCAATATATCTGCAAGGTAAATGGGAGTTGTGGGTTTAAGTCCCACTTCAGACTGATTCTTTTCTTCTTTTCATCTAAATTAATTAATAAATATTAATTTAATTATAATTATTAAAATTTAATAAGAGATGGCTCCTAATGCCTCTCTCTAGTAACAAATTGTTTTAGGTATATTAAATACTTGGATTGGATGTCACGCAACAGTTGTGTTAATTCAATTAGAAACTTCAGACTAGGAGGTGTTAAAGAGTGCAAGCTGTCATCTTACCGGAAGACCCAACTTCATCTGTGTTAAGAAAAACGAAGAAAATAATCACTCTCCCAGGAGTTACTTCTGTTCTTTCGGGACACCTGGATCCCCATCCAACGTCACNGGAATGCTTTGAATATAGTGAAAGATGATCTAATAGCTAAAGTTGATGAACTAACAAGGTGAGTGTTAAAAGATACTAACATGATTTGAAAAATTATAAAAATATCAAATGCCCAAAATAATATTTTCATTACTTTTTCTAAAAATGTTTATAATCAAAAAATGCATTTAGACTTGTAAAAATGTCTTCTTGGGTCTAATTATGTACTAATTTAATTGTTTTAATATTGAAAAACAGCAAACTTGTCTGATACAAATATTTAATTTAATCATAAATTATCAATAATAATTATTTTTATTTCAGTTGATATGACTAGCAATTTGAATAGAGAAGAAAAATTTAATTATTTTATTAATATTTTAGATAAACTTAGATTTGTATTAATTAAATTAAATTATTATTTAAATCAAATTTTATTAATTTAAAAAATATAAATATTTACTTTAAAGAATTGTTTATCAACTAAAAAGTTGATAAATTATTCTTTAAAAGTAATAAAAATAAGCAATTTTTGTGAAAATTCAATTGTATAATTAAAAGTTATAATAAATAATCTATTGTTAAAATTTTAAAATTATGAAAAAAACATATAAAAACACAAAGATTTAAATACTATAACACAATGATGAACAACCCATGGCCTTTGAGGTCCTAACATGGAGTCTCCAGGACTTTGGCAAGATAATTTTATTTTCCTGCTTTTTTGTCTCATGCCATTATTCAACCCTAATTAAGCTGATATTCATCATGAAGAACTTTCTTGACCAGTAAAAAGATGAGAATAAATATTTAGAATGATAAGAATAATGTAAGAATAAATATATTTGTTTGCTGCAATAAAAAACTTCATTTATTTTAAAACAGGACTTGATTAAATATTCAATTTATATATTTTTAGATTTTTACATACATGCATTTTGCTACATTGTGTTATAATAATATAAACAGTATAAATCATTATTGATAAGTTTAATTTTTAAACCTGTTATTATCCTCAAAGCTTAATGATTGACAGATTAGATTGAGCTATATTACTGCTGCTATTAATAATTAAATAATAAGTAATTTGGCTTAGAGGTAGGTGTTAGGTGCTGTCTCTTATTAAATTTAATAATTATAAATAAATTATTATTTATTCATTAATTTAGAAGGTTTTGGATGAAAAGCAATATATCTGCAAGGTAAATGGGAGTTGTGGGTTTAAGTCCCACTTCAGACTGATTCTTTTCTTCTTTTCATCTAAATTAATTAATAAATATTAATTTAATTATAATTATTAAAATTTAATAAGAGATGGCTCCTAATGCCTCTCTCTAGTAACAAATTGTTTTAGGTATATTAAATACTTGGATTGGATGTCACGCAACAGTTGTGTTAATTCAATTAGAAACTTCAGACTAGGAGGTGTTAAAGAGTGCAAGCTGTCATCTTACCGGAAGACCCAACTTCATCTGTGTTAAGAAAAACGAAGAAAATAATCACTCTCCCAGGAGTTACTTCTGTTCTTTCGGGACACCTGGATCCCCATCCAACGTCACTTGCCCCAGACTTTTCTTTGAAGCAAAAATGCACAAAGAGAGCTGGCCATTAAGGCCTTTAGTCAATAAGAGGTCGCACCCCCACATACTTCATTGAAAAAGCACTTGCTAGATTACTAGGTTGGCTACTTCCTTCTGCCTCCTAAGTAGTGTCCTCATCTGTCACGGCTAAAGAAAGGTTATGCGCTATGCTGGCTGGCTTGAATCCAGACACCTACACATTTTATAAAATGGATGTTGTTGCGTTGTACCCTTTGGTACTACACTTCGAGAAGGTTATGCTAGCCCAGTGTTTCTCAACCTGTAACAAATCATCACCCCCTTCAATAAAACCGTTATGTAGTATCGCCCCTTCAATAAAACCGTTACGTAGTATCCCCCCTTCACTACAAAATTTCGATACCGAGGGACAAGGCTAACACCAAATTCGTACTGCATTGAATAGACTAGTGACTAGTATAATGTTATTTGTTTAATTATTGTACAATATAACGAATAAAATATCTAATTATTCTTAATATAATGTTTTACTATATCGCCCAGAAAATTGTTTTTTGCCCCCTAAAATATAAATTGTTACTAATCGCCCTCTCAACATGGAAAAACGCCCACATGGGGGCGATATCGCCCTCGTTGAGAAACACTGGTCTAGCCAATACCTTGCTTATCAAAGAGGGCTTTACTGCACAGCAAGTTTTAGAAGTTTGTGAAGCATTACTCTTCATTGTGGAGCACAATTACTTCTGCTTCAACGGAAAGATTTACCTGCAGAAGCAGGGGGTGCCAATGGGCTCACCGCTGTCAGCTGTATTGGCAGAACTTATTATGTGAATTTGAACACAGCTTTAAATTTCCTCTCATCATAGCTTATCCCTTAATTTATTTAAGATACATAGATGATATTCTTTTGGTGTGGCAGGATACGGAAGACTCCTTCCAGATATTAGAACATCACTTATCGAAGATGTATTCCTCTATACACTTCACTTGGGAGAAGGAAGTTGGGAGAAAAATCACTTTCTTGGACTTGCACATTCACGAATCCCAGGAAGGCTTGGAATTTTCCGTTTATCACAAGTTTGGCAATATTCCACCCATAATACCAGCCACAGCCTGTCAACCAAAGCAATATGTTAATGCAGCCATAGCTCCCTTGATCAGACAGGCATTCTTACTACTGTTGACACAACATCTTATCAATATTGAACTGGAGGTTGTCCGCACAGCAGTATACGTGGCGGGATTTAGTTCTTCCAAATACATCCATGTCAAAAAGAGCATTATACAGTCTCTCTTCCCTGCCACCACATTGTGCAGACCAAGGGATTGGACAACACTCCGTCCCTCGCTCCCATACTGTGGACGCTTTATGACCCAGATCTTTAGGCAGAATGGTTTTCGTTTACCCATTGCTCCACGACCATGTCTGCAACTAATTTTGTGTAATGATAGAGATGTTACTTCCACCCTGGAAAAATCTGGTGTATGCTCCATTCCTCTACAGAATCCAATATCAGGACTATTCACCTATTATATAGGAGCAACTGTCAGAATTCTGGCTGCTCGCGTATCTGAACATCAATGTTCGGTGGCACTTGGCAATTGCGACACTGAACTTTTCAAATTAGTGATACAACACCACCACATAGCACTTTGGAATTAGATGGCAATACTCAAACACTGTGATGAAGGGAGCTTGCTATATATTTGGGAGGCCCTCCTCACAAAACTGCTCTCCCTGTGCAACTCCCCTACCCTCGACTTACCGGGCATCTGGATTAATTTATACAGGCGTTTAAAAAATCAACGATAATTCTACACTCATTTCCCGCACCTACTATGTGGTTCAAGGCACATACACGTCGGCCTCTTCATGTGCGCCTTTGTATATGTTACATGCATTTTATGTATTTTAAATTATGTCCTGCGATTTTATATTTAAATTTTAATGTAAACTTGCACTTATGGCTCTATTCCGATCGGCTTATATGTTATCTTTGTTAAGGCGCATGCGTGCCATTTTTATACGTGTTTACAAAATGTTTTAATTTAAAATCTAAAATTTACTTGTTCTTAATAGCTATTCTAATTGGCTCTTATGTTATGCATGTTAAGATGATGCAAACCAATTTCTCACATTTACAAAAA